CAAATGGTTGCCCAATCCCTTCTTAAAAACTTCCAGTGTTGGAGCATTCACAACTTCTGGAGGTGAGTTATTCCATCTATTAATTGTTCTAACTGTCAGGGAATTTCTCCTTAATTCTAAGTTGCTTCTCTCCTTGATTAGTTTCCACCCATTGCTTCTTGTCCTGCCTTCAGGTGGTTTGGAGAATAGCTTGACTCTCTCTTCTTTGTGGCAACCTCTGAGATATTAGAACATTGCTATCATGTCACCGCTAGTCCTTCTTTTCATTAAACTAAATATATCCAGTTCCTGCAACTTTTCTTCATATGTTTTAGTCTCCAGTCCCCTAATCATCTTTGTTGCTCTTCTCTGCGCTCTTTCCAGAGTCTCCACATTTTTTTTACATCGTGGCGACCATTTAATAACAGGCTCAATTGTGGCTGTAAGTCAAGGGTTACCTATACAGTCAATGCTTAAAGGAGACAGAATGTGCAGGAGTTGGTGCAGAATAGCTGATCTCCCTCTTTTGCTGTCAGAGTCATTATTAGTCGTTGCAGATTCAATTAAAGATAAGCTTTTGAAAGCAACCGCATCCTGATGCCTTCCCCCTTGGAGGGACAATTCCAGACCCGTCTTATATTGGGGACTGTGACACAGCTCAGAGGAGAAAAAGACTCTTGCTCTGTTTATCCTTTGAGCACCATGAGATTTATGATCCACTCAGTGCCTGATCTCCTTTCCACCTGGTGCACACAATTGCAGCAAAGTAATTGAAACCGATATTTAAAGAACTGGAGACAAGCCATGCATCACCGGGATGGGCTGAAGAAGGCCGGTTGCAGCTCTGGCAACGTTTCCAGTGGAAATATAAAGCCTCCCATGTTTTATCCCTGGCAGAGGTCCAAGGATAGAAAACAGAGACTGAGCTAGGGGAAAGAGAGACAGGGAGTGAATATTGACATCAGTGGAAAGGTTGTGTGGGGCCATGACTCCCATAAATGTTTGCCACAGGCCCTGCTGGGTGCATTGGATGGGAGCTGAAGTCTAAACTATCAGGAGGGGACGTGATCCCACAAAGGGGTGAGGTACTGTAAGTAGCAACAGTAAGTCTTCCTTCCATCTCTTCAAAGTCCTTAGCTTGAAGGGAGTATCTCCTTCAGTTAAAATAAAACTTTCTTGTTTGTGTGGCATCTCTTCGCAGCTCCTGAACTGCGAATATCAGAAAGGACATCGCTTACAAACTCTGGTTGTGATGTTAGTTTTGAACACTTTGCTTAGGGGTATTAAATTTAGCTTGCAAAGACCCAGAAGAACACCAGAGGGCAGCAAAGAGATGTAGGAAACTCTGCCTCTTTGCTGCCCTCTGGTAGTTAGGATTTGTGCAGTTCAAAATGACTACAAGGGAAACAGAATTTCACTTTTTTCCTTTTTATTCCTTGTTGTTGTTGTTAGTTGCGAAGTTGTGTCCAACCCATCGCGACCCTATGGACAACGTTCCTCCAGGCCTTGCTGTCCTCTACCATCCTCTGGAGTCCATTTAAGCTCACACCCAATGCTTCTGTGACTCCATCCTGCGACCTCATTCTCTGTCGTCCCCTTCTTCTTTTGCCCTCAATCTTTCCCAGCATTAGGCTCTTCTCCAGTGAGTCCTTCCTTCTCATTAGGTGGCCAAAGTATTTGAGTTTCATCTTCAGGATGTGGCCTTCTAAAGAGCAGTTCTAGGACTGACCAGTTGGATCACCTTGCAGTCCAAGGGACTCACATTCCTTGTAGGTGAATATAAATGGTACCCTGTTGCTTTAAAAGAATCAGAACATAACCTATATTTCTTGGAAGTCTTTGTGATAGCAAAAGTTTATCTAGTACAGCATTCTTGTGGCCAGAAGACGTTTCAGGGAAGATTGTGAATCAGGATGGAAAAGTGAGAACTCTCTGCTGCTAAAGCTGATTTCTCCTGTACTTCTTGGCATATAGTTGAGTCCATTTTACTTTTATATATAGCATTCCTCCTGCAGAATTCATTTGAACCTCATTCTTCTCAAAAGCCACCTGAGCAGATGGCCATGTCTATATTTGTAGACATAAGCATATTTTTTTACCCTGCCCTTCAGTCAAAAATAACTATAGCCCAAGAAATGTCATATTGTCCTGCTTTCAGATGTATAATCTTGATGATACAATGCAAACAGGAAAGGAATACTAAGGGAAGGGCCCACCCCATGCTCAGGCCCCCATCCTTCATGGGACAATTCTCAGGTTAGCAAGATCAGTGGTGGATGAAGACACTTAGCAGAATAACAGAGTTGGGAAGGGACTTTGGAGATCTTCTAGTACAACCCCCTGCTCAAGGAGGAAACCCTTGACCGTTCCAGACAAGTGGCTGTCCGGGCCACCTTCCCACCAAAGGGACCACCTTTGATGGGACGGTAACAGTGTTCTGTGCGCCTTTGCCATTTAGTCATGCTGACCACATGACTACGGAGACGTCTTCGGACAGCGCTGGCTCTTTGGCTTTGAAATGGAGATGAGCACCACCCCCTAGAGTTGGGAATGACTAGCACATATGTTTCTTTGAGATTATGCCAATATTAATTCGGAGAATGAAACAGCTTTTGCAAACCTGCCCTGCCCTGATCTGGTACGTGACGTACTCCAGGTTTTATCTCAGGGTTACCCTGAATTGCAAGCTAAAACTAAGACTTTCCCCCCCACATTTGTCTGCTTCTGCTAGCCATGTTGCTATTTTAAGATGCACTTCAGAAGCAGAAGGCCTCCACTATAGAATTAACACACCACCAAGGTAATTATTTTAGCAGCCTGAAATAATTGCATCAGTTATTCCA